GGTATCTAGCCCGACAAAAGGGGCCTGACAACATTTTATGCCCCCCATGTGGGTAGTAAATGCATGTCAGGTCATGATTGAAGATACTGAATTACCGACCCTCTATTACTACGTATCGCCCCTCAAAAAGAAAGTTTTTCCCTTTACTCTTATTTTTTTAAAAAAGAGAATGTCCCACCTTCTAACCTATTTATCGGCCGAACCGAGCACTGAAAAATTCCGAAAACACCTCTAAATAATTTCGGCGAAAAAAAATACTATCCAACAAGACCGGTCATGCAGCGGTCGGCCGGTCAAACCGACCGACAGGCGATCGCGGCCGGTGTTGGACCGGCGGGCCGAATTTTTTCGGTCGAGCCTAAGTTGGTCGCATTCAGCGGCCGGCCAGACCATACCTGGCCGAAACGTGCGGCTGACCGGTCCAAGACCGACAGCAATCGCCAGTCGACTGGCTCCAGTACGTCTGACTTTTTTTTTGGTGTTTTTTTTAATTAATAAAACTTCAAAATACTAAAAAAAATTATTATAAAAAGTTTTATATTTTAATATATATTTTATAATAAATTAGAAATTAATATATATTTTATAATAAAATAGAAAAATAAATAATGAAAATATATTAATAGAAAATTATATAAATTATATTTTTCACGGTTTCTATTTTCTTATAAAATATATTAATAAAATATATATATTAATTTGTAATTTATATATCATATATATTAAATTAATATATATTAAATTATATATATATAAACTATTTGTACATATAAATTACTTTGTGATATTTTTTTTAAAAAAATTTTCGTGATATGTAGTTCGTGTTAATTAAAAATATTGAAATATTAAGAAATATGTAAATAATTATATATACTGTTCTATATTTTATAATAAACTAAAAAAATTAATAATTAAGTTTGATTAATAATTAAATATATTTATAATTTAATTAATATATATTAAATTATATATATGAATGTATAATAATATATAAAATTATATATATTATTATACATTCATATATATGATCTATATTTATACATATTAATAAAATTAATATATATTTTATATTAGTATATATTAATAAAGTTAATATTCATATTATATATGTTATATTAGTATAATTATTATAAATTTGATAGTATAATTATTATAAATTATGAAAAAAAGTATATTAGTATAAATTATATTAGTATATAAAAAATTATATTATTAATCAGCTTAATTATTATAAATTATAATAGTATAAGATATAATTAATTATAATAGAAATAATTATATTAGTATAAATTATTGCGTTATAGATTGGAATTGAGTATCTTATAAAATAAAATTTATTGATATTGTGTTAGAAGTTAGAAATTATTGTGTTATAGATTATGACTACGTTTGGTAAACTAAATAAGCTAGCTTATAGCTTATTTGGTTAGCTTATAAGCTTCTTGTATTCACATAAGCCCCGTTTGGTAAACTAAATAAGCTAGCTTATAGCTTATTTGGTTAGCTTATAAGCTTCTTGTATTCACATAAGCCCCGTTTGGTAGGACGAGCTTATTTAAAAAGCTCGAGCTTATTTGATAAGCTTGTTTAGGTAGCTTTTCAAATAAGCTAGTTGAATTTTTTATTCCAGCTAGCTTATCAACTAATTTTACCAAACACTTTTATCATATAAGCTAGCTTTTCAACTATAAGTCATAAGCTATAAGCTATAAGCTAGAAAATTACATATAAGCTATAAGCTAGCTTATCAGCTATCAGTTAGCTTATCAGCTAGTTTTACCAAACATAGTCTATATCTGATTGCCTTATAAAATAGAATGTATTAATAATATATTAGAGATTATTGTGTTATAGATTAGAATTCATTATCTTATGAAGTTTCAGTGTCCAAACTTTCCTTCTCTGATAGCGAGAACTTCCCCAAACTTTACTTGACTATTCGTGGCCGTTGTCTAGATGTAACTATGTGTTTTTATTATAAATTCTAACTTTTTTATACAAAAAAACTAAAGATGAATATTGAATAAAAATTGATGTGATGTGTGGGGATGATTGATTATTATTATTTAATTATATTAATAATAATGAGGAGAATAAGGATGAATTAAATTTGAGTTAGTTTGAGTTAAAAAAATATTGATTAAAAGTGAATGGATATTTGAATACATATTTGTATCCAAACAACCCTTATTATCATCGTAGTATGTGGAAATAATTCTTTTTTTTTTTTGGTAAAATTATATTGATAAAAACACATAATTACACCTATAAACAACTAGGAATAGCCAAACAACCATCCAACTGAATCTATTGAAAGCCTGCACAAGGGTAGCCTAGATAACTACACTAACACACCCATTGTACAAACAAACTATACACTCACACAAGGAGATAATCAAGCTTGTAAGAATAAGACTAAAACAAAAAATAACAAGGCAACTCAAAACATTAACACTAGTAATACTAGAATAACACCATCCCCCATCGCCAGACAATTTGCTACATTCAACGACACGACACCCATAGACGGTTGCACAAGGGATTGAACCCCAAACCGAGAACTAAACCAGAGACTCCAACAAGCGGCTAACTGGTACAAAAAATAGACCAAACTCCTATCATGAACGGCCACCCACAGACCAATTACTGAAGGACAACCCCTGTCTCCCCCACCAAACCACCGACGACCACAAGGGATCGCAGCCCATACACACCAGTCAAAAAGCCGACCCCTAGCACCAAGAACGGAAAGACGGGGAGATACGAACCTTAACTCAACCTTGATCAATTCCTGGAAAACCCAAAGGTTAGCTGATCGGCCCAATTCAGGGCCCGCTGGAACCCACTTCGCCACCCAGAGACAATCGGCGATTGCGGTGAAGCTGTACATCGAAGAGAGGACGATGAAGCATAACAGTACAAGTCGCTCGAGTTGGTGATGGTTGGCACCATGGCGGCTGAGAGGAGGTGGAGTTTCAGATTGAGTCGAGCCGAGGGTTTCGGGAAGAGTGGTTTTGTGGATTTTTTTCCCCGAAGAGAGAGAAGGTTGCCTTTTTTTCTTAACTCAAGTAAGCTTGAACTTAGTACCAAAGTTTCAAAAACCGGACCG